ATAAGTACACTGTTTGGGTTAATTTGTACCAAATGAAAGCTTGGGGATTTGAAATTAATGAACAATTTCTGAAAGTTCCTTAAAATGAAGGTGAACAGGGAATGCTGATACCTCCGTTTTTATGCTAACTTTTGCAACATATTTTATTCAAATTATGTCGCAAATATTCTGGATTTCAGAATGCTATTGAAGAAATGATGTTAATATGTAGTTTTATAATTAGATCAATATTACAATAAGAAAAATATATACGTGTTTATACATTTGACCTTTATGTGGTCAATGTCTGCAACACAGTTGTTTGCAAGATGTTCTAAAAACTGTATCAAATATTAAATATATTATCGAATTAACAACATAATTCATGAGATATCCTCTGTAAAAACCCAAAACTATGACGTATTCTGCATCTGCTAACTTATCCAAGAAATTACTTATCACAGATTCTACAATCATCAATGCAATTCTAGGAAAATAGGAGATACAAAATAATAATGTGATAAGGAAGAACATAATAGAGAATCGATGTTTACGCTTGATTCGACAAAGAATTCTGGTAAATTTTGATGTCCGTCTTGTTTGGATTCCAGAAGGAACAGTAGACCTATGCCCCTTAATGTCGAATCCTCCATTCGTGTCTTTTTGGTAGCTTGTCGATGTTGATTCAATGTCCGTGTTGTGGGATTCAGATTTGTCAACAGAATAGTTCGCATCTCCACAATTAGATGAATCAGAATCTTTCATAATCTGATTTGCGATACTATGATGTACATTGACGTCAACAGAACGTATGGCTGACCTATTTCTCTTTCTGAAAGATTCTTGTTTATATATGATACGAAGTAATACGCAATATATTGCGATGAGTGCAAAAATTCCAGCCAAACATAATAGTAACAGTGTAACTGAATAACCAAATAGAAAATTTCGATTCACATTAGACAAAGCGGCACAATTGTATCCCGTAATTGTTCTGTTTCCGCTTTTCAATGGAACCTTCGCCTCGCCATACAAGACAAAACACGGAAGTGATATAACAATTGATACGATTATGATTGCTGTCATTGTCAATCGTTTACTTTGCAGGCTCATGGAAGAGTTCGATAGTCGACTGACCTTAATATACCGTTGCAAAGCAATTGCTAAAAGCATCAGACCCGAACTCGTTGCAGTAAATTTATTTGCACTCCAGTTCAATTTGCATATGACGCCTTTTCGAAAGTTCAACGGATTTAAGTTCATCATAGTTCCAAATGATACACCAAGGCCACATGCGAACATATCAACAACAGCTAGGCATGGAATAAAATATCTGTCATCCGTTTTTGATTTCATCTTGAAAGTATAAACGTACACAACTAACCCATTACCAATTAGACTGGCGAGTAAAAGCACAAATAGAAATACAGTATTTGGTATTAATAACTGAATCATAGCATTGTTAAGTTTTTCAAGATATATGTAACTGTGGCTTTCGTTTGAATAAAACATCATTCCCATATGCTTCAATCTAAAATTATACAGTACATATGTAAAACTCGATATTGTGTTTCAATCACTTATTGATGGCAATAATGTTATGTTTAAAATGCTCTTACAAATTCACAATTTTGTTTGTTGCTTGGTAATTTTTCATATAGTCTGACTTAATTTTTGTTTTCGCATTTTGAATTTGTTTATTTAAAATGTACCATGCAGTATAAATATTTTGCAAATAGTTGAACATAGGATGGTGCTTATTGTTAGCTATAGAAAATTAAATGTTTTGAAGGTATTGTTACATATACACAAAAACAGTGAGGATAAATTGAAATAAAACAAGAAATGATGATGAGTAAAAATTGTGAAGGTCAATTTGATTTTTTTTTCCTTACTATAAAATGCTACATTATCCGTTCAGTTAAATATGATATGGAAATTTCATAGGTTACGACAAACTTAGACAGCTGACTGTGTTTGTGACGGTAAACATTCAACCAACAGATATTAAGATATAGTAAACACATGAGTTGTGACTTAACCAACATCCGGGCTATTGTAACAAAATAAAGTTTATCATACCTACGAGTAATCTTGTATTTGGCTTTGTATTCATGCACGAATGTCTTTTGTTCTTTGCTTTGTTTTTCTTGGGTATTTTCTATCTATCAATATGTTCATTTACCTGTTTGATTTATGTAATCTACTTATAAATATATGTCCAATCACCTAATGAACGTGCTTATATTATATCCAATTTTTGTCACTTATTTTTACTGATGTAATGAAGCATACTAACCTTTAAAATTTAACACCTAAATTTAAAAATTATCTCATCGTAATTTTCCATTTTGATTTCACTTGATAGATAGATCTTAAAATATACATATATCCACTCAGAAGCATGTCATCATGTGATATGCTTTTTTGTAAGTATTCTCACTAACATTAAAATGTTAAGAAGTTTGTACATGTCGGGATGAATACGTATTACTTGGTACAGAAAAAGGTTGCTTTCCATTCATTTAATAACTGAGCTTTTGATGTTTGAGCTTTTGATTTTGCCATTTGATAAAGGACTTTCCGTTTAGAATTTTTTTTGGAGTTCTATGGTGGCCGGATGCGGCCATTTCGCCATTTCGCCTTTTTGCGTTTTCTCCTTTCACTTTTATCGGGAAATCGAGAAATCGAAAAATCTGGAAATCGAGAAATCGAGAAATAGAAAAAAAGGGAAATCGGGAAATGCAGAAATCGAGAAATCGGGAAATCGGGAAATCGGGAAATCGAGAAATCGATAAAATCAAGAAAGCGAAAACGAGAAATCACGAAGGCGAAAACGGGAAATAGATTTCTCGATTTCGCATTTTCGCTTTCTCGATTTCTCGATTCCCCTATTTCTCGATTTCGCTTTCCCGATTTCCCAATTTCTCGATTTCTGCATTTCCCGATTTCCCGATTTTTCTATTTCTCGATTTCTTGATTTCCAGATTTTTCGATTTCTCAAATTCCCGATTTCCCGATTTCTCAAGTTCGCGTTTGCAAATTGAAAGTAGAAAACGCGAAAACGCGAAAACGCGAAATGGCCGCATCCGGCCACCATAGAGTTCGGTATTCTTGTTATTTTACCTATTGGTACTTTTGTCAACCAAATTTGTAAACAAAATTCTTATACTGTTAAACATATTTTCAATTTGATTTCTTGAATTATATATGTTATTTTATAGATCGCGTTTTATTTAAAAATTTTTTTTAGAAAAATAACAAGCTCCAAGGTAAGAAAAAAGAAAGTACATAAATACTGACAAAATCTACCGTTATCAACCAACAGAACGAGTGAAAAACAACTCTCATATTCCTAGGTTGGTACATAAATTTTCCCCGTTATCAAAACCGCTAATATTTCAGGCAAATGATTAGGAAAAACGCAGACATGCAACCGTGCCAAATATAACAAAAGAAAAGTATTACATCAACAATTTACATCTTGAGAGAAGATATATATTTGGATGTAAGACGTCAAATTTAATTGCACTTAACAATATGAATGTGACATTACGCAGGTGTACACACTATGTTTCATAGATTTTGAAGGTTTACTTTATTTTTTTCTTTCTTTGATAAATTACAAATGATTTTTTTTTTTTTAATTTTCAAAATGCTGCAACTGAAACGTTCGAATATCAATTCAAGATATGGAAGATGTGAGGTGATGTGAGGTACAATCAATTATAATTCTACCAATTTCAATGTTTTTTTTAATGTAAATCAAGTATAAAACAGCGTTACACTCTTGGTATATTATTTGATTGATTGCAACTAGATATTGCTATTAATTAGTAAATCATGTATGTATGAAGGTTGTTTGTCAATTCGAACAACGACTCATTATTCAAATGCATTTGATTTTTTTCAAATGTATGTTCTTGTTTCTGTTGATTTATTTTTCAGATAAAATCACAGAAATATGTTAATCAACGTTGACACTGTGTAATGTATCAAAAACCATATCTTGAAGTTTTTTAACTAGACATCTCCCAAAATTGTGTGTGTAAGAGTATGATGCATTTTCCATTGATGCGTCTTGTATCAGATACAGAGATTTAAAACTGGTCATATCTTGTTGAACAAGCATCGTCATAATCATAATGTTTTTTCCTATCTCAACTAACCCTTCCAAGCTTAACATTAGATTCGTGTTAAGATTTCTCCGATCCTACCCCCATCCCCTAAAACATATATTAGATAAAAAAATAAGCAATCAGTATTAAAAAATCTTGTCCTGAATTGAATTCATTAACATCCTTTCCTTATATTATTGGAATGATGAGTTGTCGGACAAATATGCTGTCGGATTCAAATGTTGCATGAGTAATTGGCTGGTAGATCACTGTAAGAGATGGACCCATATTCCTTAACAATTGGGCCCTTGTTTTCGTCTGGGGAATTAATGTAGTAGTATTAGTGTCCGTCAAGCGTTTATTTCGTCAATCAACCTATTTTTGTTAGTATAATAGAGGCAAAAGATACCAAAGGGACATTCAAACTAATACGTCGAAATAAACTAACAACCCCATGGTTAGAAAAGATACAGATAAACAATTGTACACAAGACACAACATAGAAAAATAAAGACTGAGCAACACGAACCTCATAAAGAATTTGGGGTGATCTCATGTGTTTCGGAATAGTAAGCAGATCCTGCTCCACATGTGACAACCGTCGTTTTCTTTCGTATGTTATCTCATATTATGTCTCTTTTCTATCGTATAAGTTGTATTTATTTATTTATAAGTTATGTTCTGTTAGAGTAAATATTCATGCTCTACATTTTCGATTGTTGTGTAAATTGGTTTTCGTGTATTGTAGTTTTTTTTCACCGCAAAAGTTGAAATTTAAAATAAGAGAATTTGCCATTTTCAAAATGCTAGCTGTGAAAAAAAACGAGACATGGAGGGTTGGATACCCCAGAAGCTCCAATTGTTCTAATTTCATTTCAATTGAAACTGAGGAACTGTCATGACTGTATTTCAAAATATTTATTAGTACATTGAATCTCGAATACTACAGAAAACAATAAAGATCGTGCTGTATAAAATTTACTATTCTACATATTAATAATATCACTGCATGTCTTTCTAGTTTTAAATTGACCTATTGGACAAGGCGCATTCGGCAGATTCAGATTACTACATTGGTTTGGAGCAATACTGGCAATGAGTTCTTGATAAAATTTGACCTGTTTTTTGTTGTATTCCCTACAAGGATGTGGATTTCCTGTATATGTACAGTCATTTTGGTCTTTCTTAGGATAATCCCCATTGCCTTTCCGATTTCCTTTGTTTGAAGCTTTCTTGCATACTATTCGGAATGGTCTGGAACCACGCCCATGTGTACCGTCTTCATATCCTTTACAGTTACAGTTTAATATCGACAGTTGAACCTTATTTTTTGACGCTCTTCTTCCTCTCGAGTAACTACTGCTTCTATCTGGACAAATGCATCTGTTCGTCGATGGATCCCAGCAACAATCTGGTTGTGATATACACCTTTGTCTATAATCAATTTGTTTTGGAAGTACGACGGTTTTGAATGGTACAAAGGTTTTTGATGGTACAACGGTGTTCTTTCCTTTTCTACAACATGATTGGCAACTTGTGACAATGCAAAGTAATACCAGAAAGAATACTATCTTTATTCTGAAATTAAAATCAATGTTCCTATTAACAACAAGATCAATGATCACATATTTGATGATTATGAATAATAATAAAAAAAAAATTATAATAACAATAATAATAATAATAATAATAATAATAATAAATAATTTGCATATTACATAAAATATACGAAACTCAGTTTACAAGAATTCGTAAATTGCGAGTCTCTGGTTTTGATCGCTTTAAAAAAAAAAAGATTTAAAAAAAAATGAACAGCACATGAAATTCAAAACACAAGGGATTTATTAATGTAAAGTTTGATCCAAGACTCAAATGATCTGGTTGTGCAGAATGGTTCTTTTTCTATTTTGCTGCAAAAAGACTAAACTCAAAAGTCCGGAAAAAATTCTAAAGCAATTCCATCATAGTAAATGCAGAATCTATATGCAATCACTCTGTAAAGTTCAAAAGTTCAATGTCGATAACTGTCATGGGAGTTGATTACACATAATTGGTAGTTTTATGTATAACGTTAATGAAAATAATATGAACCGTCATTAGTAACTTTGCTTTAAATCATGCAAATGACCAGGTTCCTCAATTCGGGTAAATGGGAAAACAGCCCTATAATAGCAGTTGCAGACCATTAAAGTGTATGTAATCTGTCTGAGATGTTTCAGGCATCTGGTTTGACAACTTGAGGAATATTTGATTACATGAAACTAATGCAGAGTTTTTAGATTTTGCTAAAAAATGACTAAGTTCCCAATTCCAGAAAAATTGGGGGAAAAAAACTAAAAAAAACTATGATAGCAACTTCAACATATGTGCAATCGTTCTGCGACGTTTGAAGGATGAGGATTTAAAGTTGTAAGAACAGGTTCGTACATATAATAAGCACCGTCACTTGTTTTTCAGACAATAATGCCTAATATTAAACTTTTAATCATGTTAACAATAGACATGAGATTCGCTTCAGTGCATACAGATTTATCATTCATCAAACTGCCATGATTTATATGCAACAGACTCATATGTTGTTATCTACTAGTACATTTCAAACAAAAACAGAAAATCCTGCAACAAAACAATCTTTTGGAAAAGAAAGCCCTTTTCATTTGTAGTAGAGGTGAAAAGGTACATTGATCAAGTAACATTTTAGGATGCCAATTAAAAAAAAAATTTTTAGTTATAGCCACTAAATGTAAAGTTTCCATTATTTATGGCCTTTGTAATATAGTTATTAATTATGATGCGAAATCGTCGCGGACGATCAAGTTAGCATTCATTTATTTATTCACACATTTTGACATAGTCAAATATTTAGCATATTTTGATGGACGTCGTTTCCGTATCTCCTATTTTTGTAAAAAAAAACTTGCAACTGTCATCGAAAAAAATAATAACATTGCTATAGTCGATTGGAATGTTTCTGTAATATTTCTATTGTGTTTTGATAAATTGTTAAAGATTACAATGTTCTGCTATTTCTTTTCATAAAATAAAAAAATACCATACCTTGAAAATTATTTTTTTAGAAAACGTTCCCTACAAGTACAAGTTAATCCCTGAATCAAACGAACAATATCGCTCTTTATATTTTGTAAAATGAGTAATAACATGGCCGTGTTGTGTGAGTTTTCCATAATTTGTTCATTTCCAAATAAACGATTAAGGGTTTATACTTGGAAAAAGTCAAATGATTCGTCAAGTACGACGAATGTGGATCTGAAGTCCATAAGTTACAAAGTAATGTCATTCTCATTTAATACTTAATGGTGTTTGTTGTACAAGTACCCTTGATTAAAGCAGTTTGTCAGAAAGACGTTGTTTTCGAGTATCATAGCTTCATAGGTGTATACTACTTTTGGCGTCGTCAAAAAAATAAGAAAAGAATAAGGTTCAAAATATGGCACCAAACTGCAATTTTGATACTAAATACACCAACAACGATATTATATCGGTAATCAAGCCTTGTGATCTTAACAGATACAGACTGTTTCATGTCGGCTAAGGATGTTTTTCGAAACATTTCTTTTTTAAAAAATCAGGGAAAATTAAAAAAATTACTTTAAATAGCAAAGTTAACCGTTGAATAATAATTTAATTTCAAACTCTGTTGATTTAAATTCAATTAAGATGCAACAACTTCCCAATTTCGATCTTGCAAGTGAAACAAATACTGGCTATTCGTTGCAATTGTACCTATAAGCTAAATTGACAATGAATACAGTATAAAATCCAAATGTTTAACTCTAACTCAGATATAATTGATGCATTATCATATTTGTAAAAAATCTTCAAAGTTAACATTATTTTCTGCCATGTTAGCTAACATTTATTTTGATCTACCTTTTGGTTGTGTAAATGTTCGTATAGTTCATATACTTCATAATAATATTTTCGTGCAAGTTATGACAGTATGTTAGATTTGTTTAACCCAGTATAGTCAGTTAATTGTTAAACATACCTCTCATCGGTGTTTGTCAATTTACTATGGACATGTAAAGCTTACAAGGAATGTGTTTGGTGCTGAAGGTTTTATTTCAACCTTTAAAAAATCAATAAACAGTTGTTTCTATGCATTCGATTGTCAGTGTGGGGTAGACATATCGTGTAATACATTATTTCATCATATCGTATTTTAAACCTAGTTTTTTAATGAAACCTCGTTTTATTGTATTGACAAAATTTGAATTAAAGCAGTTTTCATTGAATATAGTGTTGACTTCGTTACAATGACCTTCAGGTCTACCGTAATGCCATTAATTCTAATAGAAGTACTTTCTTTTTTCATAATCCTATTATGATTAATTTTGTTTGAGACGAAAACAACAGGTTGTAAATTTCATTCGTCCGAAGCGCTTTTCTGGATTTACCTTTATCAGGAACGCTCAAAGCCGATTTTTTTGAAAGCCAAGGATGAATAAAACCGAAACAATCGAAGAGCTAAAAAGGACCTTAAATAGTCAAATACCCTGGTGGACTGATAGTCCACCAACAGACGTATCGACCCAGTAATGAAAAAGATGAAAACAGCACGTTTCAAAAATACTAAATGAAAAAAAAAAAATGTTTGGAAATAAGGTAAGAAACGAAATATCAAATAAAGTTTTAGGACAACTTTACATTCAATGTTACAAAAAATACATGACTGCTTCAACCGGTTCTAGGATGTAATTCATGTTAATATAATACTCAGATTTGTCTCTAGGACTGTTTTTGTGATTGTCGGAAAAGGTACACTATAAACGGGATATCTACTGGATTCAAATTCAATACCAGTACTGCACACCATGAACTTTGACCAGAACAGCTCCGATTGCACCAGGCCTATTCCTAGGTTTGCTTTTGGTTTAATCTGATCTGTTCCACACTAAATTTACTAGTGATCAGATCTGATATTCACCGATTTACGAAATATGTGTCTTTATAAGTGATGCTGAAGTCAGAACAGTTAGAATACCAAATCAAATACGAAGATGAAGAGCATTACAAACTAAAATTTCTAAAAGAATGATGCCAAAAACGGATTTTTGTTTCTTTGCATGCAACGGGCATTAAAATAATGTGGCAACTCAATAAAGGATTTTGTTTATAGAAAAACCTACATACTTTATTCCAGTGATAACTCGTTTTAACATTTTGAACTTCGATCACTTTTATGTCCATGATACGCTACAGGTTATTGTAGACAGAAAGCGATAAACTAACTTTATAGCCCAAAAATTCATGTTAAATCACTGAAGTTAAAAGTACCCAAAATCGTGCTATAGGATGTCCTTGAATACGTCCATAGTAACTGTTGTCTTTTCTTAAAAAATCAATCTCTATATTTAAGATCTAGTTTTAAAGAAATCATTGCTAGCATCACTTTAAATTTTGTAAAACACAGCCTTGCAAAAGGGTCATTTACTTTAAAAATATCATAGAAATTTAGTCACACCGTCTGATTTAAATGAACCTTCAGTTGGTCAAGTACCGGTAGATATTAAGTGTAACGTATAAGTGTTCTAGTTATATTAAGTTCTTAAGAATTATGTTTTATAGTTGTTTACTGACATTATGTTGATTAATCCATCATCAATGTTGTGAATGCATATATTTTCATATATATGCATATATGTCTCTACACTTGTTCACTTGAATGTTTAAGCGTGGTCGATATTCATCAATAAAAGTGTAGAGGACTTGACCTTTTCATGTACAAGAAAGTTATTTGAGTATCTAAAAAGATGACGATTTATTTGATTGAAATAATTAAGCCTCCTGTTTTTGCTTTTTTATTCTTATACTTTAAGAAAAGAAGTATAATCGAGATGTAATGGGTGTATTTCATTATTTTCAAATTGATGCCTTTTTTTTTAATTCATGACATGTGGTCATTTGTCTACCGATACGTTTATAAACAGATGTAAATATTTTATATACACATTGCATTTCTTATAGGTTTCTTACGAAAGTGCAGCAAAAAACAGCAGGTGGTAATCTTTTAGGCAAAATAATTTGAGATTGTCGTCCCTCAAGACGAATTCGATTTGATACAGTTCGTATCTGGTTAATTTGAGGTAATTTTGTTTTTCATCTACGCTGTCCGCGATATTTTCCTTCAAGACCCCTGCCGATTGAATTTTTAGCAGAGTCGTACCCCTGACGTACGTGTGGTTTATAAAGTAGAGCAAATGTAGACCCGTCTTGTTGGTGTTTCAACATGTGGAACGAAACGATAACTCCAGCAGTGTACATTCCCCTTCTGCATTCATTGTATAGCGTTTATTATTTTCAAAAAGCGAGAGATAATCCTAGCTTGTGTTTCCTATCATGATTTCCTTGATAGAGGATTGCTGCTCACAAGGAAGCTATTAAACCAAGAGTTCCAAATGGTGAAGTTGAAGTCATCCCTTCGTAAATTTTACGGACGCCATCACGAGTTGGTTGACCGTTATGGAATAACCGTTTCACAGATGATATCGGATATGTTCCTTATGTCGTAACTACAATGCCCTCCCTTTTCCCGAATGTGACATACCGAATTAGACTATTTACCGGATTTGTAATAACATAAGCAACACGAAGTGTGAAAAATTTGGAGCAGGATCTGCTTACCCTTCCGGAGCACCTGAGATCACCCCCAGTTTTTGGTGGGGTTCGTGTTGCTTAGTCTTTGGTTTTCTGTGTTGTGTCATCTGTACTTTTATTTGTCTGTTTGTCTTTTTTATTTTTGGCCTTGGCGTTGTCAGTTTGTTTTCGATCTATGAGTTTGACTGTCCCTCTGGTATCTTTCGTCCCTCTGTTTTGATACGAGTAGGTAAAATTCATCCATCGTTTCGATAAATGATTGGTTCCTGCATGCTTACAGATGTTTCCCCGCTCTACCGTGATAGGTATTCTATGCAACATATGAGTTTTGTTGTTTTGTTGTTTTGTTTTGTTAACATTTTTGGGGGAAAAGGGGGAATGAATTGTTCCTTTTGCATGAATATGTTTATTGAAAAAAGTAACAAAATACTGAACTACAAGGAAACCATATGAAAAAAAAAGAAAGTTCACATTTTCAAGATTCAAGATTATGTCTTTCTTAGAAACCATGACATATTAATTCGGAATAGAGATAAATGTTGGAAACATTAACCAATACAAACTTAATTTGTTTAATGTAAATACGATCTTTCCTGGAAGACGTGTCTTTTTCGTTAATGATTCTTATACATTTACTTAGTTTAATCATTAATCAGATTAGAGATTAATTCCAAGTCTAGAACAAATTATCTTGTCAAAACATGGATGGTACCTTTGATGTTTATTACCACTTAACTTAAATCAATTGGATGATTATTCAATTTCTATTGTTTCAATTATTGTTATCCTTCTTACTTGAAAGAGCGGGTTATTTAGATTTCGTAAATAAAGCACATTCAACAAAGTATTCCATTTTTTATACAATATATCAAACGATATTTAATTCGCCTATGACAAGGTTATCTCCAAGGGGGTGACGACTTAATCCCCGGCAGGTGATTACGATCCATTTACCGTTATATTAATATGCAGCAGATTTTATTGGTCAAATATACGTAAGGCATTTCATCATTATCCGATTGAGCAAACACTATGCCCTTACACGGATTTGTGTATCGGGGATTAACAGTTTTTATTGGTCTTATAATTTTGCAGTCTTTTCATTGGTCAAAATATGTCACATACGTCATACGTTCTAAATCGTATTATATAATCTATATTTAGTCTTAGGGGAATTCTACATTGTCCGCCACTTTGGGCCCAAGTATGTATTTAGCGTGCATAAAACTGATCAAACTATACTATTTATTCAGCATGGAATACAGAGCAAATGCGCTTTTACCAATGCAAAACCTTTTTTCCAGAACATTTTTTTTCAAAGCTTGCCAAGTATTTGTACTACAAGGTGACTGTGAATAGCTGCATATGCCCTGTCTTTGCTCGGTATTCCATAGTTAACGGTTTCACACTGATTGATCTATTTGTATTGCAATGAAGCGGGGTTGACAATATTAATTATGTCCCTTTTTTGATATTCAATCGTAAATTGTATTGTTTTGTTTGTTGTTTCTTCGTTCTTTTGTCCTTCGTTATATTTTACATATGATACAACAAACATTTCCATGCTCTTATTCAGTTGTGGACTTCAATTTCTGTTGAT